GAATCATTTCGAGCACCCAGAAAAGTATCGAAAAGGTGTCGAACGAGTATCGCCTCCCAGGGCCCGACACGTGAAAATCCTCCAGCTTCGGCACTTTCTTGGTACTCGAATTTCTTCCTGGCGATCGAGGCTAAAGTAGGTTGGAACACCATGAACCTACAATGAGGACGCGGCCACAAGAAACCCTCATACGAAACCCAGCCCTGAAAACCCACAGGCGCGAGATACAAGTGGAGGAAACCCAATGCACCATGAACGCAGCTGCTCCTTCCACGACCGCTGGAAGTCACAGCGCGGCGCGCGGAGCGAAGAAAGCCATGACACCCTGACCAAAAGCATTCGGTTTCTTGATGCGCGTCCCCACCGTGCACCTGAGGCGCGGCCCGAAAATGACTGCCCGTCTTGAGCAGGTTGGTCCTTGTTTCAGCGCTTTGACTGTATAGAGGTCTTCTAGATGGGGTTCGAAAAGATGTGGTGGATCGCGCCGCATCGCTGATGCGTCGCCGATGCATCGGCGATGCATCGTTGATGCATCGGCGACGTCGGCAATGCATCGGCGTCATCGGCGTGGAGGAGGTCTGGCTCCACATCGAGCTGCATCGGCGATGGATCGGCGATGCGGCGCGATCCCCCGACCCCATCTACTCGGACCCCATTTGGGAGGCCTTGCCTGTAGTTAATCCTTACCCCCTCGCTTGGACGACATCCGTGCAGCGGCACTCCCTCCCTGGCGGGCCCACCCCTGGGGGCTAGAGCTCGGCGCGCGGTCCTCCGTGGGCTCGGGGCGGGAAAAGGACCGCGCACCAGTTCCGCACCATCCCCCCTCCACCGGCAGCAACTAAACTCGGCCAGGAAAAACTCGGCTGGTTGGAGCCGGTCCACTGAACGGGCGACGGAACTCTTGGCCAGTCTGAACTCGGCCCAAAAAAATCTGGGCCGGCTGAACTCGGCCCAGCTGAACTCGGCCAGTTGGAAACTAAACTCGGCCCTTCGAACTCGGCCAGCGCTTCGGCTGCAGCGGGAGCACCGGTTGAACTCGGCCAGAGAAACTCGGCCCAAGAAAACCAGGAAAAATATGGGCCAGAGAAACTCAGCCACACTGAGCGCGGCCCGAAAAACTTGGCCACAGAAACTCGGCTGAACTGAGCATCTTGGGCATCTTGGCGGCCACGAAGAATTGATTTTGAGGCTAAGAGGGCCCCAAAGGTGTGTTGGGGAGTTTGGCCCCCCTACACTCCTCCTCATTCCTCCTCGCCCTTGTCTCGCTGGATGTTCTTGGACTCAGCGAAAGAGGGAAAGGGGGAGGAGTGACAGGCAATCATCACATACGCCTTTTCACCCCTGGCGTTGGTTGAAGCGGCGCGACCGCGTCTTCAGAAAGCGCAGGCCGAGGGGGAGGGCGGGGACGCTGCCTTGGGGAATCGCGGGGGCGTAGAAGGACGAGGAGGGGGATGGGGGGGGAGGGGGTTGGGGGGAGGGGGTGGGTGGGTGACTTCCAACATGCTTGTAGCCACGCCAATTAAATGGCTGCGCTGGCCTACCTTACTCTGAGTCTTAAGCAGGTGCTGGTTTAGGGGAAGAACTTTTGAGAGGGCAACCACATGGAATTACTACAAAACGCTTCGTAGTCACGCAAATTTCTTGCTCTAGGGCGACCATCCCGAATGAGACAAGAAGTGAGCAGGGCGAAAAAGGATGTGGTGCATCTGCGATACATCGAACTTGGACCAAAACAATAGCGTCTACAGCACGTTTTATACTCATGCAGATTTTGAGTCTGCGCTGGCCCAGCTTACTGCTCGTGTTTTGTTCTGGATGGCTGCGCTAGGGCAAGAAATGTGCGCGACTACAACATGTGCTGCAGACACCCAGAGTTTGAGCACTGTTTTGCTGTTCGCCTTCGTTCGTTCTGCTGCTCGTTCTGGCGTTTCTTTCCTCGGCTTCGCTCTTCTCGTCTCGCCCTCGGCCGCACGTCGGCGGCGACGACAGGGGCGAATAGCCCCGGGCATTACACGCATTCGCCCGGGAGCCTTTTCGAAGACATAGATCATCGGCGCACCTGAATACGTGTATTGCTCTCCCCTGGGCTACTCGCCCCTATCGTCTCGGGCAGGGCGATAAGGGGGGATTTCAAAGGGGGGGGTTGAGAATCAGCTCACGTAGCTGATTTTCCCAGCAACTCCCGGCGCCGGAGGCGGCTATGTATCGAGGCATGGGCCCCTCGGTGGGGCCGAAACAAGCTGCATGCAGCAAATTTCGTACCCCCCCCCTTCCCACCCCCCCTTTCGTCGGGCCCGATCGTCGCCCTCGGCCGCACGGCACGCCGCGGGCTGCCGCGCGATGGCGCCGGCGTGCCTGACGGCGGCCGCTGCGGCCGCGGCGCTGGGATCTGCGGCGTGCCCGTTGCTGGGTGGCCGCAGCGGTGGCCAGGCCGCGGGCATGATGATGCGTTGGAGGACGTGGAGGAGATTCCTTGCTTCACCTGTGCCTGCAGCATACTCTGCGTTCTATGCTGTTCCATTATTCCTCAGCCGCGCGGCGCATTCCCTAATTCCGCACTGTTGCAGGGCACAGGCCTGCCGCTTTTTGATTCAAGAACGCCACAGGTACTACATAAGGCTTGTTTGTTTAACGTAAAGGGATGTGGATGAGGAGGAGGAGGAGGAGCATTACGAGGGACCAGACGACCAGGACCTTGAGAAGGAGCTCGGCGACGTTTGCCACTACTTCTGTTCAATGATGGTCGTGAACGTCAGGCTCGAACCCCGAACTTCTATTGTTATCTGGGCGGGAGACCCAGAGGAGGAGGCGCAGGACGAGGGCCTCGAGGAGAGGGAGTTGTATGCATAGGAGGATCTCATGCTAGGCGCCTGCCTGGACACGCTGTCCATGGACTCCTCGAGATTGATCCTGTTCCTAAGCACGGCTGGTGTGGATCTCAAGTTGTCGGTTGTCTCACGCTCGACGTGACCCCCTGCAGGCCAGACATGATCAATTTCGACAATACCTTCGAACTGCTCCACGTGGACTCCAGGGTGCAGGACTTCGTGCCTGTGCCGGTAGGCGTGCCCCACGCTCTTCCAGAGCACATTTCCCTGGGCATGTATTTCCCGAAATGCTGCCAGTCCTTTTCCTCTGGGCTCACCGTGACTCTGCCCATGCGTTCGTGCAGTGGCAGCTGGAGGCCCAGAAGAGGAGTAGGCTGCGGTGGTTCCGTCGACGGAATGCTCGATATGGTTGGCGAGGCATAAGGGCCGGAGAAAGCGCGATACCAGTACGGCCCGCTGAGACCACAAAGGGGGGGGCGGGAAACAAAGCAGCATTCGACACTAATCGCGGACACCACCGGATAGGCAAAACAGGGCAGTGGGAGAGAACCCTGAGGGAACGTGCATGGAGGCTGTGCAACCATCGGCCGTATTCGCGGACGCTTCCAGATGCTTAGGGGTGGACTTGAATGCTTTGTTCATTCCTGTTTCGTGGCGCTCCCAGCTGTCAGCTCTAGAACACGTTTTTCTTAAACAAGGCACTGATGAAGCAGGTTTTGCAAGGTACTGCTCCATGCTCACAGCCTCGCTGCGCATTGTCCAGGCTTGTCCTCGCGCCAACGTGTGACGGCATTGCGCCAACTACATGTGCTCACCCGTCATGGGGGTTGGCAACACCATCAGCAGAACAGCTGGATCATATTTGTACAGATGTGAAACACACCACAATAGCTAAGGAAACAATTGAGGTGCCAATATCATGCCACGATGTGCAATCTGGACATGGATCAATACAGAAGTGTTTCGATAACGTCCAGAAGCCGTGTAAAGTGGTTGTCGAAGCTAACAACCAATGTGCAATCTTGGAATATTCGGTGCAGAACAAGCAGCTCACTGTCTCAGCAGGCAGAGGCGAGATGGCAGGCTAAGACATGCGATTTCTGGAAATAACGAGCCACTCGTCGATTCGCTGCGTCCATGCATAGCCCCTTGTGTGGAGGCACGGCGATGCGGCAGACCATACGATGCAATTGTCTGTCCCGCCAGCGCAGGTTCATCACTGCAGACATCGATCGGAGTGGCGCCACGCGCCGAGCCCAGCGCGACACACTGCGTTCGGAGAGTCGGCCTTCCATGCGACGCGGGAGTCTTCGCCTGCGCGCACGCGCGAGCACTACCCCAGAAAGTTAAAAACTTGCTGGGCGCCGCACGCCGACTTTTGGGTGACCCAAAACGGGGTCCAGCTGAGAGGGGTCCGACTTTTGGGTCGACCCGACGACCCCAGCGTCGACGATTTCGCCGTCGAGGTGGCGCTGCTGTGCCACCGCGCGCGGCGCGACGCGCGCTCGACGAATGATCATCGCGGCTTGAGGGGTCCCGGAGTAGCCTCGCATTTCTTTCACGCAGACCCCCCGCGCGGTGGTCGGGTACCGATGTGCTCGCATATGTGACGTCGTTCAGCGTTCGTCGTTCGTGCTTCGTACATAATCGTTTCCATCGTCCTTCGTTATATTATTGAGTGTCGTCTGGTCGCCGATTGTGGTTCGTCGTTCGTCGCCTATCGTCCGTCGTCATCACCTGACTACCTACCAGACCACCCCACCCCAACCCGAAGACCCGAATTTCGGGTTGGGAGGGTATGGGCTCCGTATGTCTTGTTTCAATGTTCCCCGACCCCCCACACTGGAAATGGAGGGCAAATTGAGGCCTTCGGGTTGGGTTGGGGTGGTTTGGTGGGTGGCGATCACCGTCGTGTTCGTAGCTCGTTTGTGGGTGTTGGTCTTTCGGGGGGTGCGGCGCGCGTCATCCCCTCCTTTGTAATGGAGCTGCGTGCGGACAGATGCGAGGAAGGAGCTGGTTCTCGGGCGCAGCCGAGGCAGGGTGGGGGGGGCCTGGGACACGAGCGTCGCGCAGCGCGCATGCGCGCACAACATAGACAGCACTCTCTCTCTCTCTCTCTCTCTCTGGAGGCGGCAGCAGTTCGCCCCTCCCTTCGCCCCTCCAGCAGCGGGCGGTCCTTGCCCGCCGCGCCCCCCGCCTCGCGCGGGCCTTCCGGGCACTCTGGGCCCTGCCCCAGCAGCGAGGACAGGCCCACGTCGGGGAAGCCCCAGGAGCCCCCGCGCTGGGGGCCGCCCTGCTCGGCCCCGCCCCACGGCGCGGGAATGCCGACGTCGGGGAAGCTCCACGAGTCCCTGCCCTCCTGAGGGGCAGCGATGGGGATGGAGGAGAGGAGGAGGAGGAGGAGGAGGAGGAGGAGGAGGAGGAGGGGGAGGAGGAGGAAGCCCGCGGCCCGCCGCCGGGCGCCAGCGGCCCATTTTCGGAATGGTCCCCGCCAGCAGCGCCATGCGGCAACCGCAGGCGGAGCCCATGGCAACGTCTGAAAACTTTATTGCCATCAGCGGCTCAGTGCCTGAGGAGGCGGAGGAGGAGGACCAGTGCAAACCCAAGACCCATCAACGATATTGCAATAAACCCTCCCTGCAAGTTCCCTCTTCACGGGCCCCTGCAAGAGCTCATTTTCACTGAGAAAATGCCCCGTTGAATACAACCGTTTGAAAATCTTGAACTGTGCCGGCCTGGGACATGATCACCGCGAGTCGCCGCTACTGCTGCGTCTTAACGATCCCGAATCGTGCCAAAACACCTTTCATGGAAATTCCACACCGCGAATCAACGTAACTATTGCGCCCTGACAATGCGACATCGTGCCAACGCACCATTTCTGGGACGTGAAACTGAAAATCCTTGGAACTTCTGTAAACTCTCAAAACGAATGCGCGCGGCGCTACAGCGAGAACCACATTTTGCAGAAGAACCGCCCTCCATCCGTGAAGCTCTTGCAATCTCTACGCGGCGCTCAAGCGAGAACCACGTTTTGTAAACGGACCGCCCTCCATCCGTGAAGCTCGTTCACATGTTTAAGGCGAATACGCGCAGCGCTAAGGCGAGAGCCACATTCAAAAAGCGGCCCGCCTTCATCCGTGAATCTCTTGTATTTGCTAATAGAATGTGCGCGGCACTGAAGCGAGAGCCACATTCAGAAAGCGGCCCGCCCTCTATCCGTGAAGTTCTTGCAAATTCTCAGCTTAAGGATTTGAAGTGAGGAAGGAATCTCAAGCGTAACGCCCGGCCCGCCTTCCCGACCGACACTCGTTGGGGTGCGACAAGAAGGAGTTCGTGATTAGGAATGGAGGAGGAATATATACGTGTATAAATATATATAAATAGAGAGAGAAATCAAAAAAGGGGATAGAGAGAGAGAGAAGAGAGAGGAGATGAGAGGCGGATATGGGAGGAGAGACACGAGGGCAAGCTAGGTGCGCTCGCGCAGTATCTGACATCCAACCCATCCAACCCATCCCTTCCCGCTGCGATGATAGTTTCTCTGTCTGCCGATGCGTGTCATAGCGGACCTGGAATTCCAAAACGAGCCCCTTGCGTTTTTCTGCAGTCGGGGAAAAGGAGATGCGTGCATTGGAGGGAGAGGTGGCGGAAGAGAAGGTGGATCAGCAGGAGGAAATGGAGGAGGATGAAGGAGGAGGAGGAGGAGGAGGAGGACGAGGACGAACACCAGCAGCAGCAAGAGCTGGAGGTGAAGAAGCGGAAGGAGCAGGAGGACCAGGGGAAGGCAGAGGAGGGAAAAGGAGGGGGGCGACAACGATGAGGAGGCACTCGGGTCCAGAAAAGTGGCCCGCGCTGGGGCGAGAGCGCCATCCAGATCGATGGGAGCAAAGTGCCGATCCTGAAATGAGGCCAGCGCTGCAGCCATGGTGAGACACCGAACACGCTCCGATTGAAGCAAGCCCAAGTAAAATGCACAGTTCGAAATCCTGCTCGTGACAAGACAATACGCGGAGGGGGGCGGGGCCCTTCCTGGTCATCTCCGGGGAGGGGAGGGGAGGGGAGTAGTTTTCAAGTTGCGGGATTGAGGAGGAGGAGGAGGAGGAGGAGGAGGGACATTCGCTCACCGGGAACAGTTTCTCCCAACTTACCATGCCCCAGGAAAACCACGCACTGAGCATGACACAGGGCAGCCAAAATCTGTGAATACAACCTGCTGATTCACAGGCCAAGGAAGAGGACGAGGAAGAGGAGAAGACAGAAAGACGCAAGAAGGGGACAGGCGGCAGGAAACAGGATAATCAACCGCTGCACCAGCATTCATTAAAGTCAGAAACAGGAATGATTTGGCTTTCAAGGAAAATGGCACAGACAGCAGACCGACCAGGAGGACTCGGGTGATTGGCATAGCAAGAGCCTCCTCATGTGAAATACTTGTCGCTGCGGCCGAAAGCATCATGAAGTGTCGAATCATCCGAATTTCTTGCACGAGCTTCATGCCGTTGGAAATGGAGCAGCCGATGTCCTCAGCCTAAGCTTCGTCGGCAGGGAGGGTATGACGCAGGACACGGCGAAGTCAACGCCAAATTCGCTCATGAATCCACTCTCGGCCGCCGCGTACCTAAGGGCAGCCAGCTGGCACATCACCTCTGCGACGTGGCCGTGGTAGTGGAGCAGATTGCCATCCTCGTCCATCTCCCCCTCGTTGCCGGCACCCGCGCCACTGGGCTCAGGAAGAACACCACCAATGGCTTCATCAGCGAGAGCGCAATCCCCAAGTGCATCACGCAGGACAACGAATCGACGAGTCAATTCGCACGAGCACTGCTGCGAGGCGGCGTCGTGCAGGTGGCAAAAGCAATTCATGTCTGACGGCGACTGTAGAATCATTGTGTGCCCATTGATTATGCCAGTCTGTACGGCGCTATCAGCACGCTCGTCACCGCACAACTCGAGGAGCTCGGCTCCTTCCAACAGGTCCCGGACTACCGGCTGGGACGGCACTGGCGGGACAGGCGGAACGGTGGGCAACTCCAGGTCGCTCGACTCGACGCCAGGGGCTCTGTCCTTCGCGTTGTACTCCATGTTGAACGTGTCAGCGTCCTGCAGGGCGGCTCCAGTCTCCGGCTGGGCGGCCAAAGCTAACTGGTCTATCACCTCACGCAGAAACTTCTCACAGGAGGAGATGGTGATGTGACGGGAAGCATTGTACGCATTGTCCAACTCTGTCAACCTGCGCGCCCAGGACGTGGACAATTTCCGATCCCGACGGAGCAGCCAGGCAGCTTGCGCCAGGCCTTCGACATGCAAATTGGTCTTCGCAGCAACGAGCCGCAGCGTCTGCCAATGCAGGAGGAGGATGAGGAGGAGGAGGACAAGGAGGGGGGCGAGGAAGAGGAGGAGGAGGAGGACGAGTAGGAGGAGGAGGAGGAAGAGGAGGAGGAGGAGGACGAGGAAGACCAGTATGAACCCACGAGTTGTCAACGATGTTGGAATAAATCCACCCTCCATTCTCCTTCTTCATAGGCCACTACAAGGGTTAATTTCCACTGAGGGAATTCCCTCGTTGCAGGCAACTCTTTGAAGACCCTGAAGCATACCAAAACATTATTCACGGGATTTCAACGCCACGCATGGATTAACCTGACTGTTGCGTCTTGACGACCCTGGATCGTGCCAGAACGCCATTCCTGGGACTTCAACACCGCGAACCAACGCAACTGTTGCACTTGTAATCGTGAGCCGATCACCATGTCCAAAAGGAACGTGCGCGGCGCTAAGGCGAGAGCCACAGTTTGAAAACGAGCCGCCCTCAATTTGTGAAACTCATGCGAATTCTCACACTGATGTACGCGGCGCTAAGGTGAGAGCCACATTTTGAAAACGAGCCGCCCTCCATCCGTGAAGCTACTGCGAATGTCTAAAACGAATGTGCGCGGGGCTAAAGGAAGAGCTACATTTTGAAAACGACCCACCCTCGATCCGTGAAAGTGTTGCCGACTTTGAAGCTTCAAAGTCATCAGTGGTGAGGAAGTCTCAGGCGAAACGCCTGGCCCGCCCTTTCGACCAGCCTCGGGGTGCGACAGGGAGAAGTTACTCATAAGGAAATGGAGGAGGTGGATGAAGAGAAGGAGGAGGTGGACGAAGAGAAGGAGGAGGAGGAGGAGGAGGAGGAGGAGAAGTGAAGAGAAGTGAGGAGGAGGCACAGATCGTCTGTCCTTCCTGGGCCTCCTGGAGGCTCTTCGCCGCCATGGCTGGAGCCGCCAAACAAACTGGCCTGGATGGACTCCAGACGGGGTCCGGGGATCGATTTTGAGCTGATTTGGAACCCCCGCTCAGGGGGGGGGAACCTCGAGCTTGAATCGGTGGTACGTCGTCGGCAGATCGGCGACAGGCCCCCGATACGGTGAGGGGATTGGACAGGAACCCTTAGATAAGGAATGCAGGGCCTGGAGGCCGGTGGAACTCCAATCGAAGCTTGGCCATGGATACTGTCGCTGCCCTCATCAGATAAGGAATCCTCCAGGGTCTGGCGCCTCCTGGTGCTATTCCTTAATAAACGCCTCCACCGTAGCGAATCCACACGGTTTTGGGCGGGGAGATTGGGGGGAGATGCGTACCCCTCCCGAGCCTTCAGTCAGGAACCGTTGCTTAGCGTGTCGTGACGGCGGCCCTGGCGACATGCCATGCCGTGCGAGCGGATAGCGTTGTCGCTCTGCTCCGAGGAGGCGGAAGGCAGGGAAAGAGCTCGGGACGCTGACGCTTGGAATCGTTGACATGAAACGCAGCCCCCACCGTGCGTTATCACGCCTCAGCTGGCACAGCGAAAGGACTCGCACTGCCACTACAACTTGCCCCCACCACGAATGCCAGCGGTTGCCCCTCGAAACGTGCCGTCGAGGATGTGTGAGACCAGAGATTGCAAAGCGCAAAACGGAGGACGCGGGCCGCGAAAAGAGACCAAGGCGTTGTGGGCGGGAGCCCCATGGCCGAATCGATCGTTGATGATGTAAATCACAAAGATGGCAGCCAGGAAGGGGAGAGAGGGAGGGGAGAGAGAGAGAGAGAGAGCGAGAGGAATAACAATAGAAGTTATAACCGACAAATAACAACGACAGAGGGAACAAGGCAGCAAGCTTGACATGAGAACTCGTGCGTGCGGCGTCCGTCCTCCACCGCCAATGCCGCAAGTGGTGCCCAGACAAACGTCCCACACGAGTCGAAACCATAACAACCTGAGCAAGGCCTCGAGCCTAGGCAGAGGGGCCGCGCCAAGTGAGCGAGCGCACACGGCTATAAGCAGGTGTCGCAAGCAGGGGAACGAGGAGGAATGGGGACGTGGCTGGCGTGCAGCGCCGAACAAACGTTCCCGACCGCATCCCCCCCTAATTTGGCCCGCCCGCAACGGGTACGTAAAAATGGGCACGAGGCCCACTAGCAAATACTGTATCGTTCAAAACCGACAGCGGCCGATGTGGGGGAGGCGACTTTTTGTCTCAAGTGGACAACGTCCGCGGCGACGCCGACAGCAAGTCCTGTTCAAAATGAATCAGAACTACTGTCAGTATTCGCCCCCACTCATTCCGTACCCATTTCCATCGTACCGACTGGCGTTGCCCATGCCCTCCTCGGCGCCGCCCTCCTCAGCGCCGCCCCACGGCGCGGGGATGCCGCCACTGAAGAAGTCCGCGACCTGCCCGGCCCCCTCACCTGTCTTCTACGCAACCTGATTCGGTGACAACGCATGGGAGCCTCCCATGCCATCCTGTTGGCTCCTGCGAGTCGACGCTAACCGACGCCAAATCGACGCGAATCTACGCTAAATCGACGCTACATCGACGCTAGATCGGCGCTTCGTCATCGATTGCCAGACGCCAGCGCATGCGTAATGTGTGATATGGATATCGCTGATATCGTTTGTCGAGGAATCGCGCGGCGAAACTCTCTGCGTAGCTCTAAGGCCAAGGGCCCTAGTTTGAAACAAAATGGCGGCGACAAGGCGGGCGTGAGAGATAGAGCGGGGAAGCAGGGAAGGAGCAGGAAGGGCACGGGGAGTGAGCGGGAATCACACTCCTCCTGATTGACGCTCGCGGCGCCGTCGAGCGACGATCATCGATCGCAGCTCACTTGATTAATCAGAGCGCTCCAAAACAAACACAGGCAAACGGCCTTGTCGGCATGCTATCCGGCTGCCCCAGGGCATTTAACGGGTGCTGCTACACGCACCGGCAAGAAATACATAAATTCTCAAAGCAAACAGCGGCGCGAGTCCGATCGCTATGCGACAAAACTCAAATAGCGCTATCTTATCAAGATAAAATCTCAATAGTGTGGTCGTCACCACATAAAAGAAAAAACTGTGCACACTGAATAAAGCTTCGAACAATGCGGACTAGCGTAATCTGCCACAGGATGTGGCGCCAAATGTAAAGAAAACGAGCTGGTAAGACAATTCGGACTAACGTAGTCTGCCACACGATGTGGCTCCAGGTGTAAAGAAAACGAGCTGACAGAGCGATGCGGACTAACGTAATCTGCCACAGGATGTGGCGCCAGTTATAGAGCGGCGGCGTGCGTCACGAAATCTTCTTTTGAGCTTTCGCCTTGCCGGGCAGTCCTTGTAGCTGCCTCCATCTATTCTGTAAATCCCAGCGCAGACTATTGTGCATCCTCGAGAAGTCTGGCTCATGGGTCATGTGATTCCTGCGAAGCCATGACGCATGCTTTCTGCACGTCCTGCAGGTTATGTAGACACTATGTGTGTTGTGTCCCACACGTATGTTGTGCTCGGCGGCCACACATGCGTTCATCTCTGATGGCGAAACCGTTGGCGTCGATCCGTTCCACGAAACCACACTGGCTGACGAGGAACTGTGAACCGTCATCGGCGATGATGGCGCAGAGCTCGCTCCCTGCGCGAAGCTGTCCGGTGATGGGGGCGGTGCGGCTGGCGCTGCCGATCCGCTTGCTGATTATGAACTCTGGGCTGCGACGGCAATCATCGGCGGCTCCATGTAGACATCTCCGTCGACGTCTTCGGGAATGGTAGGCTGTGCGTCGTTACGACGTCCAAGGTATTATCGTCCATCCCATCCTGGATATACTCCGGGCAAGGGAGTGTCCGCGTGCCCGGCGTGGTCGGCCTTGGACCCATTGCTGGTGTTGTTGATGGTCCCGATCTGGATGGGATTGGGGTCGCCTGGCCCAAATATCTCCTTTCGCACCACAAGCCACAGCGCTGCGAACAATGTAAATCCAATCATGATCCCACTGAGCATCGCAATGAATGTCATGTAGTAAATCCAATGTGACATCGGCACTTGCCATTCCTGTGGGGGATGCTGTGCCTTCACGCGTCCGAGACATGTCATCAGCACTGAGGCAAGCATGGCGGCGCGCGGTTGCCTAGTGCCAAAGTTGTACTTCTTGGCCCCGAAGAAAGCGAGGAGCACTCCGGTCTCCATGATCTTGGTGAGCGCGTCGGCGACCATACTCCACGTAGGTATCCACGAGAGCTTCAGCTGGCTGTTGGGGTGCACCGTCTCCTTGATCATTGATGCCACGATGCGGAACCGCTTGTCCGTGGATTGACCCACGTCAGACTTGATGTGCGTCACCAGGCCGTTGCTGTCGCTATAGATCTCCCCGGATCGTTTGGTGCTGAGGTCGTCGATCTGCTTGAGCGTCTTCTTCGGGTTGTAGGCCTCCGTAAGTAGCTGGCCGAACCACGTGCTCGACTCGGCGCCCTCCAGAGTGGCGTAGCCCTCGGCGGCCAGCGTCGACTTCACGGATCGCTTGACCGTGCCCGAATGCCAGGCCACAGGCAGGCACAAGTCATATCGTCCAGCCACGACGTCCCGTGGCTTGTGAGTTAGCCCAATCGCCATGCCCCACTGGCTCTTCACCCCGTCCACATTGGCGAAGGCCGCGTCGCTGAAACAGATGATGGTGCAAGTGCGCAGATCGATGATGTTGCGCTTGATGACTATGGCGAAATCGGCGGACCCGTGCACGTAAGCGACGGTCTTGTTCAGCGTCTTGGCGTCGGCCACGGTGGCGGTGTTGGCGCGGCGAGCCGCAAGGCTCACCGGGCAGGCGATGTCCACTCGCGTCTGTACTGCGAGCCAAAGCAGTTGGCCGAGTGTGTGGCGATATCCCGAGACCTCTGAGGTGGTAAGACGATCCTCTGGTGATCGTCCGCGTTGGGCGTTGAGTTCGATGAAATCCACCTGGGCGGCGGCCGTCGCCTGGGTAATGCGGAACTCCTCGTTGATCTTGTTGATTGTCCGGCCGCAGCACTTGATGATACCCTCTACCTTCTTGAGGTGCAGCCTTTTCTGCAAGGAGCTAATGACTCGCTTCCACTCGCTGGAGCTTCCGCGCTGGGCGATGAGGAAATCATCCACATGGGAGTGGATCATAGCAGCGAGCCCTTTGTCGTCGTAGAAGTAGTAAAGGCCCTTCTCGAGCTTGCTCTCGATGAGGCCGTGCTCCTGGAACACCTTTTGGGCGTAGAGGTACCACTGGCGTCCGGCATCTCGGGTACCATAGATGGCGCCAGTCGCCATCACGATCTCGCCGGGCAATGTGCCTGGCGGCGGGTTCTTGGCTGGCATGCGCAGCAATAGCAGCCTCTCGATGTTGCCCGACTGCAGGTAAGCCGTCATCGCGTCGTACGACGTGAGGTCCCAGCCAAGCTGGGCGGCGGCAGCAAGCGCGAGGTAAAGCGCGTCCCTTGACCCGGTCGGCGCGTCCGCACGGATCTGGGACTTGTCCTCTTGACAGCCCTGGACGACGAGGCGGGCCTTCATGAGGTTGGCGGCCTTCTGCGTGAGCACCCAGCGGGTACCAACTGGTCGTATTCCAGGGTGTCGCTGGAAGATCTCCTTCAACTCCTTGGGCGGTAGCTTCTTGTAGGCCCCGAACTCGGTCCAGTTGGACCACTCAACCTTCATGGCCATGTCCATGAGCTCCTTGTCCTTGGCGGAGAGCTTGTCGTACTTGATCTCCTTAGCAGCGGCCTTTCCGGTGAGCATCACCTCCCGGAGTCGGATGGTCGAATGCAAATCGTCGTCGTTGATCTCAAAACAGCTGTCCAAGTAGAGGTCGGTCCTGAGTGTGTCTTTCGGCCTCTTGAAGCACTTGGGTAGGTCGTCCTTGAGACTCTCCAAGAATTCCTTGCGCTTGATGGCTTTGCTGCGGTCGTCTGTTTGATCGTGCCTGTCACGTTCGAGGGCGCGAGGTGCGTCCTCTTGTTGAGCTTGGCGCTGAGCCTTGTTGCCGCGTTGTCCTTCAGGATGTTGTGGTCTGCGGGCAAAGGCTTCTTTACGAACTTCCTCCTCCGCGGCCTTGCTCCAGTCGCGTAGACCTTCGGATCCGGAGCTGTCGGCATCCGATGAATGTCCATCAGCTTCTGTGCGTCGAGCTCCTGGTGGTGGAAGTCGTGTTCCATCACGTTCTTCAGGCTGTTCGTCATGTACTTCTGGTTGCACGATGGGTTCTGGAGCTGGATCTTCAGCGCGATCTGGGTCTTCTTGGGCTTGTATTTGGGCATGAGCAGGGTCATGAGCGGGGTCGGGGTCAGCGGCAGCAGCTGAGTCAGCAACAGGCGCTGGAGGCGCTGGCAGAAGGTCTCCTCCCGAAGGTGCTGGTGCTGAACCGCTGCCTGAGGCGCCCCCACTGGTCGTATATTATTCATCTCCTTGCCGTCGGCGAATCCACTCAAGAGTAGCATATGCGCGGCGATTGTGTGGAGTATCTTCGATGTTGCCGAATTTATGCTGCTTGATGGCCGTTGGCGGAGGTGGTAGTGCTGGCGGAACGTTGTCCACTCGCGGGCGTTTCTTCGGCGTTTCGCCCGTGAGGTCGATGAATGTATCTCCATCTCCTCCTTGGTCTGATGGTGGTAATCCGCCTCCACCGCAGTCTCCTCCTTCATGTGGTGATCCTTCGCCCCCTCCTCCTGGTCCCGGTGGCTGTGGTCCGTCAGGAGGTGGGGGCTGGTCAGCTGGTGGTTGTCCTGGCGGTGGTGGTGGCTGGTTGCCGTTCATGGCGTTGAATACCTGTCCCCAGGGCGCGAGCTCTGAGGCAGTAGCGTGACGTAAATGTCCTTGGTTGACTCGACCTTGACGGTGGTGGAACGATGGCTGACCCATACGTTCGAGGTGCCCTCGAAGCCAATGATGATGCCGGGTCCATGCCACTGCAAAGCCCATTCGCGCTTAGGCTTGCCGTTCCCCCTCCAGTAGTATATCTGGTCCCCCGTTTGATAGATATCCGACGCGTGCTGAGCTCCATCCGCACGCGATCGTGCGAGTAAGGCCCGGGATAGGGACTGGTTGAAACGCAGATGCTGGATTGACGTCTGGGCGGCCTTCATGAGGGCAATCCTCTCAGAGAAGGACTTGTCAGAGACCACTCTCTCGTGTAGCGAGAGTCTCCCAGCGCTATCCAGCAGGCAATAGGGTAGTTGAAGTCCACGTCCGAGTACCCACTGTGCCGGTGAATACCCACTGGCATTGATTGAGCTATTCATAGCCCAGCAGACAGCGGCGAGCAGCCACTGGATCTTGTGGGCGTTCGCGGGCTGATCGAACCTGATGCTGAACTGGTCGATCAGCTTCCTGGCGTGGACCTTCCACATGCCGCCGTGCCTTTCCACGGTGGCGTTCTGTTGCGGCGTAGCCGCGGCAG